CCGATCTTCGGATACGAAAAACTCGCGTGCTTTGTACTTTGAAAGAGAACGGTGATAATAACAAAAATTGTTCAACGCGTACCTACGATGTTGTTGCTAGATATTGGAACACGTTGAGAAATCGCTGACATTTTTCAGACGAGATGATAGTATTTTTATGAACGATCTTTACAAACGACTAAATGCACAGAGTAGCGATACAAACACGGCACAATGTCGCACTCATAGATGAACACTAAAACGCTATGCACTCTTTCATTTTTCGACGGATTAGTGAATTTCTTTATGATTTCGAATCGCGATCGTCTCTAAACTTAACCCCCAAAATTAAGACGAAACCGCTGCTCAACAATGTAAACGGACAGATGGAATATCTTGGATTATTTTTAAATAGCTTCCAACCGTTTTTCGAGCGGAAAAATTCTTTAAAAAAAGAAAAAGAAGAAAAAAAAACAAACAAAGAAACCGATACAGCGCGTATGACGCAAATTTCTTCATGTTTGTGAAACGAAGATGGAATCAAGATCGCTAGTTAGTCGCGAACATCGAGCAAACCGGATGTACAGGTGTCTTTTTTATACGCGATCGAGTAGGAATTTCAATCGTAATTCCACGTATTTTGTATGCACTTTTTGCGAGACTGAAACGAACGGAGACCATCGATACAAGGTTGTATCGAACAATTTAAATTTTAAGTATTCGCATGAAATTTGAAATTCTATACCGTAGGGTATGGCTTTCGAGCGACATGGACGTTGACGTCGCCGTTGCCGTCGACGAATAACGATACGAATAAGATCGAACGCTTTTTCTACTACAAGGAAATTTCCTTTCGAAACGTACTCGATACGAATCGAGGAAATAGCTATTTCGTTATTTTTCCATGGACTAGTTAGTTACGCCTTCTCGAGTAGAACGAGTGTAAAATATTGTTCCGTATTTCGAATAGAGGGAGAACGATCTCAAATCGACCAGATAACCATCGAAAATGTGCATATATTTTCAAAGAATGCGTCGGGAAACGTTAGATGTTCGACGTCGAATATGAAAATGATGATTATCTGGATGGATGTTGCAAGAAACCCCTATAATTTTTATACCTCAAGTAGGACCGGCTAGATCAAATTTTTTGCAAGCAAATGAAAAGATTCAAATCTATTCTTCTAGGATCGAAAGCATCGAAACGAATACAGTGAAAGCTTATGGCGTCTACGAAAGGCAAAGCGTGCGTTGTTCTCCGTCTGTTGCGTGCATTTAACGATACGTGTATGCGGTGTGCTGCGTATGCGACTTTGTACGCAAGAACACGTTCTTTTCTACTATTGTTTTGCGCTCGTATATTAAACAAAATCGCCAGAGATACAGACTCAGCCTATCGTATCGGTAATAATCGACTTTGAACGATTTGAAGCGCGAGATTCGTTTTATTTCGCGACGACGGTCTTGTACGCAAATGAAATACTTGGTAAGCTTTGCAAGGTTCGATTCGCTGAGATCGGTTGACGAGGCTGCAAAACGAGACGAATCTTTCACTGTATTTGTATATTTTTTCAAGCGAACGTTACCGCATGCTCTCGAATATCGATACGGTATCGATGCCTGGATAAAACTTGATTCCATCTTTGTTCGTAGTTTAAAAAAAGGGACGCGTCGATGAAGCAAAGGTAGAAAGAGCGAGAGAACATGTCGATCGTACATATCACGATGAAAAGACCATCCGTTCGCAACGACGCGATCTCGGCGTTGGCGAATCCTGATCATTCGGTAAACGAGAATCATCGTCGTTATCAGCAACACCAGCAATAGCAGCAATAGCAGCGATATAGCAGCACCAACAAGAAGCGTTCGAATGAAATAGGACGATCGGGCGAGTGCCGCCGCCTCGTGAAAATATTTTTGTACCGTCTAGCGTCAGTCGGTGACCGTACTCTGTTCGTTACACTAGATTCGGCTAGAACCTAAACGCGCGAACGTGGACCGTCGAAGGAAGGCTCTGACTCGACCAAACGAACAGCCTAGTCGCCTACGTTGCGCGATTAGAATTTTTCGGCAGTCATCGATGGAACAGAAACTCCGAGGTTACCGGTTTCCAAACAGTTATCGTACAGTACGCGAATCGTTAGCCGTGATTACTTATCGAGCTATCCTGGATTAGATTCTAGCCAAGAACCTTGCTTCAGAGCCCTCCCGAGCGAGTCGCGTCTCGAGCGTGTATTGTATAACCGCGAAAGAGTGAGAGGGGGGTTTTTTTGGGGGAGAGAGCGTAGCGTGAGAGAAAAGAAGAGAGAATGCGCGTGCGTGATTCAATTCGTCGCCTTCGACGGCTCGGTTCCTTCGAAAAAATGTAAATAATTTAAGGACCGTGTCGAACTCGCGAAGAACGCGACGAAACGAACGAGATGAATGTGAACTCTGCGAAGAATTCAGCGAACATGTACGAATAATTGTATAAAGACTGATTAGACTAGCGTTGGTATTTATTCGAATTCACGCAGTTAAATGCTATCGCTTTGTGCGCTCTCGAGTCCTCACGGAGCACGATACCAAAGGTATTCTCGACCAACTTCCATTTTTCTCTTAGTCTTTGACATACTTTATTCGCAATTACCATTTAGATTCGTACTTGGTAATAATCCTACAAACCTATACACAGACCCGATTCCATATATCTACAACATACGATTATACGATAGTGCTTCGATTCACTTTTCCGTGTAAGCCTTTATTTACTTTGTACACCGAGCACTGTTCGAGCACAGCCGATCGTTTCTCGAAACTTACTCCGAAAAGAATCATTTTTCTTCAACTTTGCGCTACTACAGTTCTACCGTCGTCGCGTTTCTGTTCTTCGAAATACCACGGAAACTTTCATATTTTCGCGCGAATCAATCGTGACGCAGAAATTTACACGGAACGCGGTAAGAAAAGCTAACGGCCTACGAAAGACTCGGAACATTTGCGTTTCGCTTCACCCTGTTTTTCTGCCATTTTAACTTTCCAACCAGCCTCGGTAATTCCGAATCGTCAACTCATTTAAGCGCTATAGGTTCCAGAAAAAGATCCGTCGTGCTCTCGAAAACGTATATAAACGGGCCAAAGAGAAAAAGAAAAATGGTATGCGCCGTTGTAACAGCGACATTATTATCGTCACAACGTATCAATATTACTCGATGCATCGTATAAGCAAGTAAACTAGATGTAAACTTTGTATATTCATTTACCAAGAGAATAAAGGTAAATTATTCGAGGAAGTTTACGAAAGAGAATTTACTTTTTTTTATTCCAAAGTAGTAGTAATAGAGTTTTCAAGTTAACAAGTTTCTCTACAAACGATATAATTCTCAAATTACCAAGTAGCGCCATCGGTGGTAAAATGCTCAAGTTTGTAGCGAAATAGGTAGTTCTCATTAGCGAACGCTAGATGTCACCCCATACATGTAATTTTGTAAAATAAAATAATGCTCTCTTTACGCGGGATATCTTTATTCTATTCCATTTAATAGCGAATTTGTAGAATTATTACAAGTTTAGCTATATTATAATTAAGCTAAGAAATCAATTTCTCAATCTGTAAATCTTCCAACAAGGTAAGATACTGGTTCTAAAATTTACCGACGGGGAACTAGAACTAGTTGGCTACAAACTCGTTCGGTATACGGAAAGACAACACAGCGAATGCGAAAAATATTATTTATTTCAGCCTTTGTACCCAAAGCATTCTTTTTCCATTCTATAGCAATGCCAACAATTCCGACAAGAACGCAATTAAAAAACACACAAATGTGGCGCCATCTCTCGGCAACCCGCTCAAGTTTGTCGGTAAATAGTTTCCCTCTGCGCCTACTAGATGGCAACCGAACGAATAATAAGCTAGTAATGGTTGCCGCATACCAGGGGCACCTCTGCGCCTACAATGTTACAACCAGGCCTACAAACTGGCTAGCAACGATTGCCATCTATAGGGGCTTCTCCGAGCATACTGTAAGTTGAATTTTACCAAAAGTGAAAATCAGGCCAGAATTTGATACGTACCAAAGATTCTCCGTGCCACCTCTTCGCGTATCA